ATTGTGGCCGTGCTCCCCCCCTCCCCCCTCCCCAAAAATAAAAAAAAACCGATGGCTCCCTGCGGTGAACCACCTCAGTCTCCTTCGAAAGTCCTGCGAATGTAAATCTCTCCGCGACTATCGGAGAAGTCGGCGTTGGCCATCTCTCTATGCTCCTCGGACACGCAGCTTGCAATCGGAGCCGTCTCTACAGAAGCGCTCGCTACCTTCCGTGTCGCTCTCGCGGGCTCCATGGGCAGCGGGCGCGTGGCGTAAGAGAGCGACAGAGCGAGAGGGCCCTTATCTCCTGCTGCCTGAGCCCCACCGCTCCAGCACAGATTGCCCAACACAGGAGGGGAAGCGAGGTCTTAGCCAACGCTGCCCCCCCGTCCGCACCTTGCCTTCGTTGGCAACGTCCCCTTTTCTGCCTTTCTGTCGAAGCCTTTTGTTTGTCATCGTCAACGGCGGCGATAATCGCAGCTCGTCGCTTTTGAGCGGATCTGTTTGTTGTTGTTGTTGCTTAATTACTATTGCTATCTCTGTTCAATTGGGGGGGGGGGGGGTTGCCCCCCAATCTCTTGAAACGCGAGCGTGAGCCTTCACATGCAAAGCTATCCGGATGTCGCCCTCCCCCCCCCGCTATTTTTTGCAGCGCTGTGGCCACGTGCAGTGTCGGGTAGAGGGCCGCTCTACGGAGCTGAGAGACTGAGAATCACCCCCGCCTCTCCCCCTACTCTCTACTGCAGGCACGGCTTTTGTAACTCCACTTCGAGCTCAGTCAAAGTGATCTCCTGCCCAAGACAGCATCGAGACGATGCTCATCTCCCGTTTGCAGCCCTGAGCCAGTGGTGATAATTTTCCACGTCGCTATGTCAACGACCGTGTACTCTCCCGCAAAGTGGTACTCGCTTTATCGACCCCCAGAGTGGGACTGTGGAGGTGGTGGGCCCGGATTCTAACTCGCAAACTTCCGATTGCCAACCGCTCAGCCACCTGGCCCGGATTTTCTAGTGGTCATGTTCAACACACACAGACAGTTGTTGTAATACAACGTCTGCAATTGTTACAGCCGAATAAACCCTTGCTACGTTCAATCCTTTGGCAGCAACATGGTTCGGGAGCTAAATGCTAATGTGGAGGTCTGCAGCTCGCCACGGCCAGAGGGCTTCAGGCAGAGGTCGCAAACGGGTTTTGATTCCTTACCCGTACCCGGCCGCACCAGGATCGCAAATGGGTACCCGTACGGGTACCCGTTCCCTACCCGTACCCTACCCGAAATGAGTGACAAACGGTTACTCACCAGTGACTCACGGCCTACCCGTACCCGTACCCGGCCGCACCAGGGTCGCAAACGGCTACCCGTACCCGTACCCGGCCGGGTACGGGTAGCCGGGTATCGGGTAGGGTACGGGTATCGGGTACCCGGTTGCGACCTCTGGGTTCAGGAGAGAGAGAGTTCATCTCGTCTAGGAGCGCAGACTATACTGGGGTTTTATTGGACCTTTTTTGGCAGTATCAAAAATAAGAATAAGTTTTACCCTTTCTGAGAGAAACGGTAAAACCTATTATTTATTTTTCCTCTCAAAATATGTATTTCATTATTTTTTCTAAATATATATTCTTTCATATATTCTTCTGTATTTTTACAATGGGTTTACTTTGTGGTCCATAGTGACCTTTATTGCTCAGGTAAAACTACCGTGTTTACTGCTGACATTTCTCTCTATATATATGTAGGTACGAACATATATACACACGCGGCAAACTTGTAACATGAGTTACCGGGTTTATTTTTCACGTGGCTACCGGCAATGCAACCCGTCAAAGAAACCTTAATGACGACCCTACCTCGCCCACGGGGATGAAGGGGGGGGGGGGGGAGATCTGGGGCAGAATGCATGACGCACAGAAAGAAAGGACACATCACGTACACACACGCATCGTTACTCGTTTTGTTCAGCGTTTTGGCATTTGTTAAACGTCCAGCGTCGATGGGAAGCTCCCGTGTGCTCTCGAGGCGCCCTTGTTTGCTCTGCTGAAAGTCCAACAACAATGCCAGAACACCGACAGAGCGATGGGGCCTCCGAAGAAGATGAAATGTTACAAAGCAACCTTGTCATTTAGACAACAACAACAAAAGCAGTCGGGACATTTTTGTTAAAACTGAAGCTGAAAATGGGAAACGGCGATCACAATTTTGAGCAGTTTGCGCACGACGCGATGAGTTTGATTCCTGGCCACGACTAAACTCAGTGCCGGGTGATATCTGAACAGTTCTAAATTCCCTCCCTTCACCAACCCCCCAATGACCAGCATGGTGAAGTATGGTCAAACAACACCCCCCCCCTCCGCCCCACCCTACCAACAATAGCATGGGCAGACTTTCATCCAGCAGTGGATCGAGATGAAATATTATCGCAATTTTATTTACTTCAGTGGAATTCGTGCGATGCACATATTCAATCAATGCATTTTCCTGGCGGCGTGCTGCAGAGAGAGAGAGCGAACTGGCCCCTGCCATAGCAACGTGGAAATGTCCTCACCGGCTGAGGGCCTCTTGAGTGGAGATCAGCCCTGCTCCACGCTTTGCTATATATCGCACAAACTCGCCGTGCCCTGTCGCAAAATCCGCACACCTTCAATATGTTTGTATCACCGAGGCAGAAACCGCCTGAGCCAGGCCACGGGCATAGCCTTCTCCTCAGTGCCCACGGTCGCCTCGTTCCTCTGTTTCCCGCAACTTTACAGCCGCTTTTACAGAGGGGGTTGGTGGTGGTGGGTGCGAAAAGTGGCGTTCAACGCAGCGCGTTCAAACCCCGCTCGCTCGCGACGCGCTGTCGGTCCCCCCCGTCACCCACCCACCACCGTAACCCGGCACGAACCCGGCCCGCCGTTCATTCCCCCGCCCTGTATCCCAAAAACCCCCGTCACTCCTTACCTGCGGGGTGTGATGGGGGGGGGGGAGGTAGAGACTCGAGAGGTTTTCTTTGGCGTCGCTCGGGGGTTTCCTGGCCTCTGCCGATGGCTGCAGCCCCACGGCACGGGGTGGGGGGGACGAAGGCTTCCCTACACCGTTCGGCTTGGCGTCATCGGCTGCTGCGTATTCGGGTGTCTTTGAGATCCCCACGGGAGAATACCGCCGTCGGCGGTCCCCAAGACACCAACAAGCCGGCGGCGAGACGCGACGACGACAAAAAACGCAAAAGTCCGAAGGGAGGAAAACGAGGAATGTTGAATGATGGGAGCCAGTGGCCCCTGAGTGTGACCGTGACAGAACCGGCGGCGCGCGTGTTGTCTGTGCTCGCCCAGCGGCTGTAAATTATTGCTACGGAGTGGGGGGGGGAAGTTGTGTTTCGTCATTTGCGCATCGCTAGCTTGGAGGACTAATCTCCCCCGCTCATCGCGTGCGAGGGGAACAGCCGTTACTTTAACGCACCAGAGAATTCCAACTTCGCCCCCGAAGCTGAGCAATAACGGTCCCTCGCAAATCGATGATCCGCTGACAAACCGCGAATCTGCCGACAGATGTTTTTCTCACTCCCCCTCTCAGTCACCGACTAAAAGCGACACTCTGACAAATAGTTTTTTTTTTCATCTGCCCTGAAATGCATCGCGCAGTGCGAAACGTTGGCTCACGCGCGAAACAAACTCTCTTTCGATTCTGCCTCACGTGATTCTTATTCTCTACGAAAAAAAAATAAACCTTATGCCATGACGGCAAGAATTGGCGTGTTTGGTGTCAGCCGCGCCTTCCAAAATTTTTTTAATCGACCGCGGTGGCGCAGGCCACGTGGCTGGCACAGAACGGTGGCCCCGTGAAATTTCCACCGCTCCCTTCCCTCCCCCTACTTTAATTCTGGGCCCCTCCGGCCAGTGGGCCCTGGTGCGGTTGTTACCCCAACATCACCACCCAAACGAGCGTGGGTTGGCGACGTCTCGCTTCTCCGTTGGCGGCCTTGAGTCAACGTTGGAATTTCCACACGGGACCGTGTGCCAAGGACAGAACGACGTGACTTGCAGATATGTCGCCAATGCTTTTATTTGCTTTGTCGAAGTGCGCACACTCTGCAGAGTGGAAAACAGTAAAACGTAATAAACAAGGGCACGAGAAACAGAAGGAGAATTTAAAGATGTATATTTATTCAATCGAATCGTGATTATAATATGATATGAGCAGTTATATGCGGCCAAAATAGTTGTTAAATGTCACGGTTAAACATATCAGCGTAACTTCATGAGCATGGTAATCTGTTGGAATTGTTTTTGTTGTCTAAAAAATGCACACACCAGCTGCTTCATAATTTTAGACTGAATTAGTAATGTGAGAATAAAGCATTGTTATAAACGATGAATTGTTCCGTACAGGACATCAAGCCACGCACACACAAACTCTACGGCAGTTTCAAGTAGAATCTAAAGTCATGGCCGTTGTACATTTTGTTATGTCCCACTTATAAATATACATTCCTAAAGGACTTGATGGAATGTCCCGCAATGTGTGAACGACGACTCTACAGGCCGGCTGCGGTGGGGTAAAGTGTGAGTACTCCTGCCTCTTCCAAGTCGTCTGGCCAGCGTGGAAGAGTAGGCCAAACACCCTCTCTAGAGGTGAGGACGTGTCACAAGGGGAGGACCCAACACCAGATGGCCATGGTGAGATACCAGAACTCGGATTCGTTTCGCTTTTGTCATTTCAGTGATCCAGGTTGATGGCTATTTTAAACTAAACGAAAACTAAGCAGGTTCCAATGGTGAAAACTAAGCAGTTTTACTTACCTATTAGCTATTATACATTTTTTTAAAAGAAGCGACCTGGCCAAAATTGAAAGAAAATGTAAATTAATAAAAGTAAAATAAAATAAAAATCACGACGTTTCAGAGGCAACACAAGCTTCCGTCTTCAGGTGGAACTGTCACAGCACTTGACACAGCTGTCGTGCTGTGACGGTTCCACCTGAAGACGGAAGCTTGTGTTGCCTCCGAAACGTCGTGATTTTTATTTTATTTTTATTTTCCTTTTATTTTAATTTTTTACCTACGTGACTTTTACCGAAAAAAACCTAAGAATATGAATCCTTGCAGTCACGAAAGCTTCAAATCTAGGACACAATTGATAGCTCAACGAAGTGCCTTATCATGTGTGGGAATTTATGGAAGCAGTAAAATATATCCTTCGAGCATGATTCTAAATGCGGAGGGAAAAATGTACGCCACCACGGGGAGAGAGAACACGCACATTCCAAATATACAGCAGCAGGCGTCAGGGCCGGAACCGAACCAAACGACCTCCTGCGTACCAGGCGAGGGAGATAACATCTCGCCACCGCGGCGCGAACGAGGTCACGCTGGTTTCTCGACCTCTGACCTGTTTCGACCAATAGACCTGACCGTGAGAGGCAATCCTCGTCGGTCGAGGGTTGACTTTACGACGACTAGGGGATCCGGCAGCAGGAAGGAGAGAAGCGACGGGAAGGCGCGGTGAGTATCAACATCGTACGGCAGCGGCAGCGGCGGCGGTGGCGACAGCTTCAGGCTCGCAGCGGGTGTGCACGAGAAGCGGCAGCGCCTCTGCTGTCGAGGGATGGGGACTCTGGATTGCTGGCGGCTGCCCAGTACTCCCAGTTCATGAGGCTCTCGCACGCGACGCTGGAATCCTCTCCCTCGATGGGCGGCGGGACCTCGCGGAAGTGAGGGGCGGTCGGAGGGCCGGCGGGCCCGGGGGAGCTGGCGGTGGCGGGGGCCGTGGGCGGGCACTTACGTGTCCCGTCGGTCCGGCCGACAGCCGCCAAGTACTTCTTAACGTGTCCCATCGGTTTCCTGCGAGAGACGTCAACGGCGACTTGAACACAGCAGCAGCAGTGGCAGCTTTTGGCTGCTAGCCATCGCGCTTTCAGATGCGCCTCCGCGGCCGTCTGGAATGCTCTCCTTTCCGATATTAGGAAGCCACTGGAGCCATGCAATTTTAAATCTTCTCGATTGAAAAACGAATTTATTCACAACTGATTTTTGTGTTCAGTTTGTTGTCGTTCCCCCGCACCTCCGATTTGCATGCTCTGCTACGTACGGTGCGAAAATAGTTCGACATAAGCACAACCCGACCCCGGCCCAATCCCACCACACGCGGCCCTACCCGTCGATCCACTGCTGGACGACGGCCTCGTCACGACCGCGCCCCTCTTGGTGGGGACGTCTGTCCGTACTTGACTGCACACGTCGTCTGTGCACGCGTTGGCGGTGAGGGGACCCCTCTACGCCTCACGTGGCGCCAGTCTCGAAGCGCAGCAAGGTGGCCATCACGGCGGACAGCAACGTCATGGAGCATGGTGCGTGGTGAAGGTGGGGAAGCACAGATGCCGGAGCGCAGAAGTATAGTTTCTCTACGTTGTCCTCTGCTGCCCACAGCATAATCTGGCAGCCTGTAACAGCTCAGCTGTTATGCAGAGTGGTCATCTATCCGGGCACCGTCCAGGCTCAGCATTGAGTAAAAAGGTGCAGCCCTGAAATTTAGGCCACTGCTGGTGGAAGGGTGTCAACTCGCGTGAACTGTCGAGGTCTACTCTCCCACATTGCCCAGACGTGTTGGAAGAGGTGGGCGTACCTACACTTTACCCCGCCTGCGCGACCTGCCGATCGGCCAAGAACTGCACTAAATTCACCGTCTTCGGTGGCTTATCATCATTATTATTATTTGTACGCAACTGACAAAAACCGGGACTTTTAACGTCACGGGCAGACAGATCTCCCGAGATGGCAGCTGTCTCGAAAAAAAAATAGAACGATCTTGGAAAGAAAGAAGGAAAGAAAAACCGGAGGCGGGCGACGATCCTCCTTGCACAGGAGCCTCTGCGCGGTGCGCTGCTTCACCTCCAGAGGTAGAAGATGCACAGAACCATCGCCGTGGTGACGAAGGCTGTGGCCGTGGCGACGGCGAGAAGGCACAAGGCCTTCGTCTTGAAGCTCACGGAGCAGGCGTCTGTCTCCTGGATACAACAACAACAACAAGAATCATCGTCATCACAAAATTTCACAAATTAACAGAGTCACGTAGATAGAAAAAGAATATGTGACTTTACCGAAAGAACCAACGAATATGGATTCCTTGCAGTCACGAAAGTTTTAAGTCAAAATTAACAAAGCATCGAGCGTTTAAAAACAAATCAGGTCAGCCCTCGCAGGGACAGGGCTGACCTGATTTGGACCGCAAGCTTAAGGGCAGGGAGCGGGAGTTTGAGGCCAGATGGTCCCCGTGGCTCCTGAACCCCGAGTGAAGGTGCGCATGGTGGGGGGACCTCGTGTCTGTCAATGGAGTGCATCACTCCATGGACAGACACGAGGTCGCCTGCACTGTTCCATGGGATTCGTGTCGATGATCGGTTCACTCGCCGCGTGTGCGTTACTTTACTTGGTCGCGTCTTTGTTTGGGACTCGTCCGTGAAAGTTCCCAGCCTCCCAAATAAGCCCTCCCTCTGGGACTCTCTGGAGCTGCATTGGTTTGGGATATCCGTCTATCCTCGTAAAAGAAAATGTATTTTTTTTTATACTTCACAACCCACCAGCCCCACGGCCTTCTGGGAGTGTGTGATCTCAGCAGCATTGATTCAGCACAAACAAACTCTTGGACACGTTTCGACACGCTGTACAGTGCCTCATCAGCAGTCAGGCTTGCTTCACTGCAGTTTATTCCTGCCATCAAGTAGTTCATTAACTGTTACAAAGCGTCTTGAGATACCTTAGTATTTATACGCTCAATTATTTGAAATTGCCGCCGTTATCAGTGGGGCTTCGTGTAATACCGTGCAAGGTAGGAGACCCGGTTACTGGGACGGTGTCGATGTTGCCAATCATCTACCTCGAAGCACCTCGGAGCACCTCACAGGGGCTTCCGAAAATCACGAGCGGTGTCAGAACGCGTCTGTGTGTGACATCGCTTCAGTCGGAATCATTACCACGTGGGTGTCCGGATCGGGAGGCGGCGACGCGCCGGCTTCGTGTGACCTGGTGACCGCGTCTGGAACGTGACACGCGGACGGGCAGTCAGGGCAGGTTAGCGTCACACACACACAGCGCGTAACACCGTAACAGCAGCATCACACACACACAGCGCACGTCACTGTAACAACAACGTCACACACACACAGCGCACAACACCGTAACACGGCAGACGGTTCGAGTGGGGCCATGGAAGTGGCTGTCAGCGCTCGCCACACCGCTGGCCGTGACGAACCCGGCACTGGATCGAGGCTTTGCGTAACCCAACCCACGACTGTCAGTGACTCCCCCGTGGTGATTCGTTCATTTCGTTTGTTGACGCGGGCCATGCGAACGTTCAGCCGTCAAGGTGATTTACAAGAATGACCCTCGGGGGGTGGGGGGTATATTGGCGATTTTAAGGAAGTTGCAGGACATAAATCGTCACATTCCAGACGCTGAGTAGCAAACATATCGCGTGGTAAAACGACATTGGTGTCAATTTAACACGTAGGCTTTCGCGACCAATATTATTCATAATATAGGTTTTTGGGTCAGATCGGGCAAGAATGGTGAAGGAGAGCTTCACGATTCTTGCCCGATGAAGCTTATTGTAATCATCAGCGAAACGTCGCACTACTCAAATTTCAAAATGCTGTTGATTCTCTCTTCAGCACACCGGTGGGCTAAAGAAGTGAATTATTTTGTCCTTTGCAAAACGTGACACCATTTTTTACTGATTGGCCGTGTCGGGTGGTGGAGGGTTACGACACATTTATAAATAACGCAATCTGAACCAAAACCCTATATTATGGACATTGGTGTCCCCTGCACAGTTCAAGTAACACAGACGGCAGTTCGCTGGCCACCACACATGCAGGAGAGGCGACGTGTACGAATGAAGGATGGGATTTAGTTTTTTAAAGGCCAGGGAATGGGAGAATGAATTCGAGCCGAGAGCCATGAAGTGAGCTCGTTCCATAGTTGAGGAGCGGCGAGGCGAGATTGGTGGTGGGGTTTGACAACGTGGCAAGAGCTCACTCCATGGGTGCGTTTCGTTGACAACTCCATTTTTGTTTTCGCCCGAACCAATCCAAGGAGGCAGGAGAGGAGCTGCTAAAGGTTGACGTGGACGAAGGCTGCAGCGAAGGGCGGACACGGGGGTAATGTAATGAGCTCATTTGTTCTTTGAGAGTATTTTGAGGATAAATGATGCCCAATGAAACTGCCTCTGAGTGTCGAGTGGAGTCTGCTTTCCGTTTAAGTACGGATCGCTGAGCAACATGCCCAAAGGTACAGAATGTTGAGTGGCCAGGCGGAAATAGCACGGTCAAATTTGTAACAGATTCGAGTTCATGCCGTTGTTTTAAGTTGAGCAGTGCTGTCAGAACTTGGGGACACGAGATGATGGAATAGAATTCCAGAGTGGAGCAGTGCGGGGTAGGAAGCAGAATAACACGTGAGGTGTCCTGCAGTGTGGTGAATGGCTGAGTGGGTGAGTGAGCACGTGAGTGAGTGAATGGGTGAGTGGTTGAGTGAGTGAGTGAATGAGTGTGTTGTTGTGACCTGCAGTGTGATCAGTGGCTGAGTGGTTGAGTGAGCACTTGAGTGAGTGAATGGGTGAGTGGTTGAGTGAGTGAATGAGTGTGTTGTTGTGACCTGCAGTGTGATCAGTGGCTGAGTGGTTGAGTGAGCACGTGAGTGAGTGAATGGGTGAGTGGCTGAGTGAATGAGTGTGTGAGTGTGTGAGTGAGTGAATGGGTGAGTGGCTGAGTGAGTGAGTATGTTGTTGTGACCTGCAGTGTGGTCGCTGGCTGAGTGATTGAGTGAGTGGGTGAGTGAGTGTATGAGTGAATGGGTGAGTGGCTGAGTGAATGAGTGGATGAGTGAATTGTTGTGACCTGCAATGTCGGTGAGTGGCTAAATGGGTGAGTGGATGAGTGTGTTGTTGAAACCTGCAGTGTGGTGAGTGGCTGAGTGAGTGAGTGTGTGAGTGAATGGTTGAGTGGCTGAGTGTGTGAGTGAGTGGATGAGTGTGTTGTTGAAGTCTGCAGTGTGATGAGTGGTTGAGTGAGTGAGTGTATGCACGAGTGTGTGAGTGAATGGTTGAGTGGCTGAGTGAGTGGATGAGTGTGTTGTTGAAGTATGCAGTGTGATGAGTGGTTGAGTGAGTGAGTGAGTGTATGCATGAGTGTGTGAGTGAATGGATGTGTGGCGGAGTGAGTTAGTTGTTGTGACCTGCAGTGTTGTGGAGACGAAATAATGCAGTATAACGAGTCCTCAGAATGGGGGGAACAATCAATGTGAAGATAACAGCAATAGAAGAGTGATACCCAAAGAATCAGTGAGTGCCGTATCATCCATCAACCTGACTGTACACACTGAAACCTATCATCAAGTGCAGTGAGTCAGGAACTGGCCAATCCACTCCAGATATGTCAACAGTGTTCCAACTCCGGCCAATTCAAAGTGGTAGGCTTGTGAGCCATAGGTTTCCCCACACAGTGAGTGTGGGGAGTGGTCGTGTAGCGGTTAGCGCTACGCTGCGCTACGAACACGGCATCCCGAGTTCGATTCCCGTTCACGGCCAACACCAGTGACGAATGTCTGAACCGGTCCTGGGCCTCCCCTAGGTCAACTCAGCCTCAAATGAGTACCTGGTGCGGTGTGTAAACATCGCCACTGGGGAGACAAAGGCGACCGGGCGAGGTGGTGGCCACCCATACCGGCCTTTTTGGGTGCTACTCGCTAACATAACTTTGTAGGTGCTACTCGCTAACAGAAATTTGTAGGTGCTACTCGCTAACAGCACTTTGTAGGTGCTACTCGCTAACAGCACTTTGTAGGTGCTACTCGCTAACATAACTTTGTAGGTGCTACTCACTAACATAACTTGGCCCCCAACAGACTGTTCATGCTATACGGGTAGTGCCGGATAAAGCTCGTGCGGGGCCTGTAGCACATGTTATAAAGGGGCCCTAAATATATATAAAAAAAACATTAATATTAAAACACACATTTTTTACTTGTATAGTAAAGTAATTGTATTTTTTCATCTGCTATCCAGCCAGATAATACGACAAATCGCTAACCTTAAACACCCAGTCGTTCATAAAAGTCGAAGGCGGTATAATACTATAGTAATAGAGCAAGTGCAGATTCACTGAAACCGGAATTGATAGCTTCAAAGCATTTAGCGCGGGGCCCTTGAAAGTGCGGGGCCCGTAGCATTGCTACGAGGCTAATCCGGCTCTGTATACGGGGGTGGGGGGGGGGGGGATTTTTGTATTGGTGCCAGGCTAGGTTCATTACAAAGCTGTGGGCGAGCAGCTGGCGGAGATCTGACCCGAGATGTACGTGGTGACGTGGTGGAACTGCAGCCTCTTTCCGTGCCGAGGGACCTCACGGCTCCCGGTGTGTGCCCTGCTTGAGATGCCAGAGGCTGTTGTCATCGCTGCTGCTGCTGTTGTTGTTGCTGTTGTTGATGTTGTTGATGTTCTTGTCCTGGCAATGGCTCGCACGCGGCTTGCTGTGTCTGCTGCTGGAGGGGGCACAAGACATTGCGCACGACAACACGGGCAGACGTACGTAACGGAGTCGTCAGAATGTTTTATTGATCCTGGAGGAATCCGATGAGCTATGAAGTTATATTTCACAGGGTCAGAACGTGCCAACAACAAACAATGCAAAACAAACACACACAATAGGAGTGCAAAGTATAAGAAAAGGTAAACAAATCGCTTTAACAAAAATACAAATAAAACGAAACAATGTTTTTGTATCTTACCACGTAAATTCCACTGAGCTATTAGCATATTTATCAGCTCAACAAAGTGACTTATCATTTGGACATTTATAACAGCAAAATAATCTAAATCGTCTAAACAAAGCCGCGTGCGGCTTAATAAGTGACTGCTTCTTCAGATTCTCTCCAGGACAAATAAAGACTCCGATGTTTCTGGGTGCACCTCTGATGTGTGTGCGTCCGAGTCAATCATTGTCAGCCTTTGTTGGATGCCCCCCCTCCCCCCGAGTCAAGACCACTAATAATAATAATTTAAATGTAAACAATCCTTCTTAAGGCGCTATGCATGGCAAGGCAGAACAAAGCGAACGACAACCTGGTAAAGAAGAGGTGAGAACGACGGTTGAAAACAACGAGAGAGAGAGAAAGAGATCACATGTCCACACACCTCTGGTCAACGTGAGTAAGGCATGCGTCTCAACCTGTACATCGGCCTGCCTTGTGTTCATAAGCCATTCGCTCCGTGTTGTGTACGAGTTCGTTTGTCGCCACGACGTGGGCGCTGACTGTTCCCCCACCCTTCCCTGTGCACATTCGGATTTTCTCCCTGCACGGTTTCCATGCCGCAGCCTGAAAGGCTTCGCGTGAGTTAGCGTGCGTGCGACACCTTTGCGCTCGCGCGAGCATGTGCTGGTGTTCGTGCACAGCGCTCTCCGTTGAACCTCCTTCGCGCCGTGCGTTGGCCGACCGTGCTACTCCGGAGGTGCGCTGCTGCGTGCGCTGGTGCCAGCACTGACCCTTTGTCCTCCAGGGCGAGGAGGTGATCTCCCGAGTCCACGAACTCCACAAGCCGAGCATGATGCTCTCCCGGGCGCGCGCGCGCACTTTGTAGGCGGCTCCGGGCCTCGTGTTCAAAATCACGAACCGCCTCGCGCCTTTGTCGGCTGTCACATTCTGAAGAGCCGACGCACGCGCGGACACCGGGTTCACGAGCTGCCAGCACACTCCCGTTCACCGGGTTGCCCCAACACGACACCGACACGACAACGACGTGGCAACGACGTGGCAACGACGTAGCAAAGACGGGGCCACGACGTGGCGATACTCCCACATGGGGCTCATCCTCGCAGCGGCGGCTGTTGGCTTGCCATCGAACAAAGTCGGCCGCCGCTTCGCGCGCTCTCAGACGCGTTTCTGTGGCCGCCCGCCCGGAACGCTCCTCCTTCCGATATTGGGAACGCCACTGGGAGCTGTGGCACTTTTAAATCATCATCTAGATTGAAAACTGACTCCTCTAGAGCTGCTTTTTGTGATGAGTTTGTTGTCCTTGCCCGCATCTCCGGTCAGCACGGTTGGCTACGTACGGTGCGAAAGAAGTTCAACATGCACACGTGCAGTGTAATCAGGGCTGACGATTGGAATAAATCACAGTAAGGAACTCAGAAATCTCCCTCCCACCCCCCAAATGTGGACCATCCCAACTTCAAGGGGAGGAGGTGGATGTGAGCATTGATCAATATATTAACATAATTTTACTGGGTTCAGCACATTCATTTAAAGTAATAAATGAATGTGCTAAAAATAAATATTATATATGCACAGATCCATGACACAATTGGGTGTGTGTTTTCCTCCAGCGTCCCATTTGGGAGCTCCCAAAGGGTGACGTTTGTAATCCGCGCTATACATAGCCAACGGAGACTTGCGAGTTATAGATATACACAGAATAGACTAGCCGCTGCGACTAGACTTGTCCCTGGTTACGTCTGGAACGACACAGGCGGGATCAAAGATTCACTCCCACCACAGCGTTCCGGGTCGCTGCGGCCCATTTCAGGGTGGTGAGATGTTAACTCCCTTGCCTGGTATACAGGAGGTCGTGCGTTCGACCCCGACACTGACACCTGTTGTATATTCGGAGGTTGAATGCTCTCTCCGTGGCCACGTGGATTTTTCTCCGGGCCCTCCGATGTATTCCTCCGCATTTAAGAAACATGCGTTTAGAGTCGTTTTGGCCGCTCTCAATTTCTACACGACGATAAGCCACTTCGTTGGTCTATCATTTGTGGCCAGATCGCTTGTGAAGTTCAGTGGGCCCTTACCCGGTCCTGTAAAATCCAGAGGTCGCCGACTCCGGGAGGTTTCGGAACTGACCTTACAATGCTCGTCGTGCTCTGCGAGCTTGTACTGCAGTTCAATCTGGAGGGGGAACATCCGGTCGACTTCTGGCCACGTCGGAGGGAATTTCCACGTCACTAAGATCTCGTCCTCGCTCCCGCCTCTCGGCATGGCCCGCAAATCCACCGGAGGGTCGGGCTCGACTGGAGTGAATAAACGAATGGAGACGGGGCAAGATTAACCCCAGGTTAAGAACATCTGGATTAGGTTCACCCTACGAAACTAATCTACCCTCCCAATCCCAATCAACCAGCTGACAACGATAATGATTAAACCCGTTCACTTGCAATCAATCTGGCGCCTTTACCCACGTGACAACTTTATTTGATTGGCTCTGCCGGGCGTGTGGAGGGTTATCGCTACAACATTGACGTTACAACCTACAGGACGATCTCACCCAACAGCCACTACGAATCATTTCTCGGCCAGCTTGGAGTCCATGCGGTCAGCACAGTCCGCCGTCAGCCTCCCGCGCAAGGACGATCCGAGGCTACACAGTGCAATTCGCGAAAGACCTCTCCACCATCGGTTATGTTTGCTCACCGATATTGATCGGGATGAATCTGTAAGTGTCGCTGAGCACGCGGCCCCGTGGCCCTCCCTCCGCGATCACCAGTGGCAGCGTACGACTCGGAGTCCATGGCGTCGGCTTTGAAGGGGCAGGAGTACGGTGGACACCGAGGCTGCTTGGGGCACGCAATCATCAGGTGCTGTGGAGTTTCATTCCTGTAAGAAAGAGACGCGGCACATCATGGCACGATTTTTTTTTCTACACCCATGCAAGGGGGCCCCCACGGTGGCGAGATGTTAACTACCTCGCCTGGTATGCAGGAGATCGTGGTGCGATCCCGACAATTGTTCAAAAGCAACCTGGCCACAAATGATAGCTCAACGAAGTGGCTTATCACGTGGAAATGCATATCAGCCAGATACTCTAAACGCGTGATTCTCAAAGTGGAGGGGAAAAAAAACGGAGAACGCGGAGAAAAATCCACGTGACCACGGAGGAGAGAGACACGCAAACTCCAAATATACAGCAGGCGTCAGGGTCTGGATCGATCCCACGACCTCCTGTATACCAGGCGAGGTAGTTAACGTCTCACCACCGTGGGGCCCCCTGCATCAGAAGAAAAAGAATACAAAGCGTGCCATGATGTGCCGCGAATCTCCGCGACAGGAACGAAACTCCGCAGTGCTCGACATTATGCATCTCATCTACTTGGTTCTTTCGGTAAAATCACGTAGAATGGAAATAAAAAAAAACGTAATAAAATAATTCTACGACGTCTGAATTGCTGTCTCCCCGACAGACCTGGTCTTCACGGCTGCTTGCGTTGTGGCCGAAACGTCGTGAGAATTATTTTATTATGTTTTTTTTATTATTTCCATTCTACGTGACTGTACCGAAAGATCCAAGAAGATGAATCCCTGCAGTCACGAAAGCTTTAAATCGAAATTATGCGTCTCACTCGATGAAGATGGAAAGGGTGTAGCTGGTCGCCTCGGTGTCCTGCAGGCCCGGCAGCCACTGGCAGTTGTATTCGTACGGCGTTATCCCGCGGCATCTCGGCTTGTTCGAATTTCCGAAGGTCATTGTTGGTTTGGCTGTGGCACCTGCTCAGGCAACGGCACAAAGTATACGGCTCCAGTCAGCTAGCGGGAAGGATTACATAGATGTGACTGGCACTCATCAGCAGCAGCAGCCATGGTCTATCCACTGCTTGATGAAGGTCTCCCAAAACCTTCGGTGTCTCTTTCGAGGACCCACGATTCAACGATCCCTCTAGCTCCTGCGCACAAGCTAAAACTGATTGCTCCGTACTCTTAGGTTTTTTCGGTAAAGTCACGTAGGTAAAAAATAAATATTAAAATAAAGATAACAAAAGAAATAATAGAAATAAAATAATAAATCACGACGTTTCGGAGGCAACACAAGCTTCCGTCTTCAGGTGGAACATTGCTTCGTCTCCGCAGCGGTCGTGAATTTGCGTCATTTTTTTCTCTACTTTGGTCGTCGCATCCTTGTTAGTCTGCAACCAGCGGACATCGTCACATCGAACGGCGTGTCCTGCCCGAGCCCTATTACGTCTCTTAGCAGTCAATGTGACGTCGCTCACTCGGGCTTGCCCTCCAATCCATGTACGTATGCACGTCTGCTAAAACTTCGCCCGTGCCGTGCGTCTGTTGGAGGGGTGATTTACAAACAGTTAAATAATGCAAAGACTTACGTTTGCCTCCCCACGTAAAAAAAGAAAATATTTTGTTACCGGGGAATTTCCAGACCAATATTTTCCATTCGTCTCTTTCATTACAGTCTGAAAACTCTGCACCAGTTTGAACCGTTTTTAGTCTCGTCAGCAGAGGCAGGCGTGTTAAACAAATTCTCATCAACAATTAATGTACTTTGAACTTCTTTAACACGTACGTAGCCAGCCGTGGCTAATCGGAGGTGCTGCTGGCAACCCACCAATATATTTTTTATCAATTCAGACGGACTCTGCTGATGATCTAACTGCCAACCCATTGTTACAGACCAATTGAGACCTTATTGGTCACCCCGTGCCCTCATCAATCTCAACGTTCATCCTACAAAGTTCGACCACAAGGGAGAAACACAAACAAATAGACACATTTTTTGGCCCGTATTGAAACAGCTGTTCTACCCCGTCTGGACCGGAAAACTCCCCGCACAAGAATACGGGGTTGTAAACCGTGATGGGTTGACACGGTGTGTGATGAGATACAAAATATCAAAGCTGACATATTTTGCGTACTTGTAAAAACGCTGCTCTATACCATCGCCGTAAAATCCCAGAGCTCATGGACTTAAAACGGGAATATATATTTATTTATTTACGCGAAAGGCCAAACAGAAGTGGATAGTAACAGAGATGACGCTCCACAATGGTGAAGAGGTGGCCACGGTGGTTAGCGCATCGCGGTGTGAACCCTGACGAGGCATTTTAAAAGTGACGTCTACACCCTCTCAGAGGGCCGGAAAATGAAGAAGCAAAGTTTGATTACCGGTTACAAGTGATATTTGTATCTATATCGACATTCTTTCGCACCGTACGTAGCCAACCGTGCTCTTCGGAGGCGCGGGGGAAGCATAACAAACGAAAGATGAACTTTATCCGGTCTTGGGGCGCCCCTTCAACAAGCCGAACCGATCGGCGTGGTGATGTGTGGTCAAACAACCCCCATGACCGACTCGGCGTGGGGAAGACCCTCATCCACAAGCGCTGTAGGCTCGGTGACTGCTCTGCAAAGGCCGATATTTCGAAGAAAAAAAAATTCTATCAATACAGATCATTAAACATTACGCGCTGCTCCCATAACTCAGCACAGGTGCGTGTGGCGAGAGGGGTCCAGGTGCGTACGTGGTGAATGTGAAGGAGGTGGGGGGGGGTGTTGGTGTGAGCGGTGCGTGAGGTGCCCAGCGGAGGGGCCTCGTCGTCCCCGCTGAGTGAGCGAGTGCAAGGCAGAGTGGACTCGCCCTGAGTGAGGGGGCATCCTTGGGGCCACGCCTGGCTCGCTCCGCACACAAACAGCAGCAGTGCCGCCAGCAGCTGGGCGGCAGCAGCAGCAACGGCACGGTGGGACAGCATGGCCCTGGGAAAGAGACACCGGTAGGAGTATGAGCCACGCCACGTCGGAGTTTTGCGGCGGGGCTGTACAGTTCTAGATTTGAAGCTTTTGTGACTGCAAGGATTCATACTCTTAGGTTTTTTCGGTAAAGTCACGTAGGTAAAAAATACAATTTAAATTAATAAAAGTAAAATAAAAATCACGACGTTTCGGAGGCAACACAAGCTTCCGTCTTCAGGTGGAACCGTCACAGCACGATTGTTGTATCAAGTAAAGATAAATTTCAAGAGACCCGACCTTGTATATATACTGGTTGAAGGGGGAGGAGCCAGGGTCGGAGTTTTTATTATTATGGTAAGGTTGGTGCGGCTGAGGCTGCTGCTAGGACTGAGCCTTTGTTATGTAGACTGGTTGAGCTGGGAGGTGCCAGAGTTGTTAAAGTTATTAATTTTAATTTAATTTTTTACCTACGTGACTTTACCGAAAAAACCTAAGAGTATGGGGGCTGTACAGGTTTTTCGGGTTGCCCGGCTCGCTCCACCTGCTGGAAGCTTCTTCGGGAAGTGAATTTGAATGGAGGAAGTGAATTTGAATTCGGTTCCCGAAGAAGTTCCCGGCGCGAACGACACGTGGCACAACGGGAAGAACACATCCATCGCGGGAGCAAAGCAAGAATAACGAAGCAGTCTGTCCTCATACTCTTAGTTCTTTCGGTAAAGTCACGTAGGTAAAAAAAAAAATTTGAAATAAAAATTAATAAAAAATTAAACAATAAAAATCACGACGTTTCGGAGGCAACACAAGTCTCCGTCATCAGGTGGGACCGTCACAGCAGTCTGACCTCCACGTCACGTGGGTGAATTTACCGAGTCCAGACGCGGCTCGTATTGTCTTATACAATCGGGGATTTTGTGGACAGACCTGAATATTTTCATGCAATCGGTTTTTTTTGTTTTTAAACCGCACTGCCAACTTCCAAGAACTCAATAGCGTGCAAAGAAACGCCGATTTGACTAAGCAAATGTCCATCCATCACGCACCAGGCAGGAGGCAGTCGCGCTGGCCTGTACTGCACACGCCTTTTGCCAAACGCCGGAGTGTTCCGTCGTGCAGTCCACAATTCACTCGCGGTCTTTCGTGGTTCCAGTGTTGTTTTTCATTTTGAGTGTGAATTGCTGAGAACTAAACAAAAGTCTGTGAATGGGTTAGATTTAACACGAAGAAGGCTTTCGCGGCCAATATCAACCATAATAGAGGTTTGTGGGTTAGATCGTGTAAATATCAATGTATCGTTAAACCCACCACCACCCGACACAGCCAATTAGTAAGATTTGTCACGTAAATAAAACATGTCAATTCGCTACTGGTGTCAGCACACCGGTGTGTTGGAGAGTAAATATCGTGGGTTTACTCTTCAACAGTAAATGTTGTGGCTTTACTGTCAAACACACAACCGGTTAGTGCTGAACTGGTCACGAATTAGCACGTTCTGTTTACGTGACAAACCTTACTAATTGGCTGTGTCGGGTGTTGGCGGGTTTAACGACACGTTTATATTGACGCGATCTCACCCAAAAACCTCTATTAGGGATAAATGGGATCAATGTGGTCTTCATGCAAATAATATGGTTACTTTAAAACAATAATAAGAATAATAAAAGCAGGTCTACCAGGACACCCCACCATTGAGCGGAGCTGTGCAACGCGGACCCTTGCATGACAAGAACGGTGCGAACTATAAAACTCGACAAAAAAAATTTCACCAGGTAAGGCCCCACTGAGATATGTATTTTTTTTTGTAAAGAGACGTGGCCACAAATTTCAGCTCAACGAAGTGACTTGTCATCGTCTAGCAAACGTTGATTCTAAATGTGGAAGGGAAAACCCGGAGGACCCGGAGAAAAATCCACGCGACAATGGGGATGGGAACATGCAAAGTCCAAATATAAAGGCGTCAGCGTCGGGATCGAACCCACAACATCCTGTATGCCACGTGGCACCCCGATTATACGACTTCATTGTCGTTAAATTTTGATTTAAAGCTTTCGTGACTGCAGGGATTCATATTATTGGTTCTTTCGGTAAAATCACGTTAGAAGGGAAACAATAAAATAAAATATTTAGTTATTTATTATTTTATTGTTTCCCTTCTACGTGACTTTACCGAAAGAACTAAGAATATTCATTGGCGTTGTTTTTATCACTGTCAAAATGTCTCCGTGAACAAAGCAGCATTCGGGAAAGTCCTCATCCCCCATTAATGGCCCTGAACCAGTGGTCAAAATTCCACATTTCCATGTCCGGTGCCATGCAAATTTCTTCTCTTCGTACACACGCGACCTTTTTTTTCCATTCCACTGCCGGATGAGAGCCTCTCAAGACCGTGCGGGCTGTGGGATGTATTGAGCCATACTTCACCGCGCTGGTCAATGGGTGGTTGGTGAAGATGGGCAGCCACAAATGAGGGCCACATTCCTAAACAAATTAGTTTTCAATCTAGATTTTTTTTTTAAGTGCGTATCTCCAGCCGGCGTCCTATTATTGGAGGGAAGAGCGTTCCAGACGGCCGCGGAAGCGCATCTGAAAGCGCGCGATGCGGTGAGCGCCTTCGTTCGGTGGCCAGCCAGAAGCTGCGCATGGCTCATAACGATATCAGCAATGAATCTGCGGTGTAATGAGTGCAGCCACAGAACGTATTCGTTCGCTAACGATCGCGAGCATCGATTTACGAGTCGGGCGGTTGCACAAATATAACAACCGCACCGCCGACAGTTGGAAATCATCCAAATTGTACACGTGGCTATGTCATTTTGTATCAGGTAATTATAGTTGCAGAAAATGTGGCTTTGTGTACGAAACAAGCCACCGTTTTGACGCGTGAGCGAAACTGAATGGAATATCGCCTCTTACTTGATGCAGCAGTCGGTGCTGTGACGGTTCCACCTGAAGACGGAAGCTTGTGTTGCCTCCGAAACGTCGTGATTTTTATTTTTATTTTATTTTACTTTTATTTATTTTAATTTTTTACC